TTTTAGTAACATTACAAGTCAATATCAAATGTTGGTATGTAATAGTAACACTACAAGTCATTATCAAATGTTGGTATGTAATAGTAACATTACAAGTCATTATCAAATGTTGATATGTTTTAGTAACATTACAAGTCAATATCAAATGTTGGTATGTAATAGTAACACTACAAGTCATTATCAAATGTTGGTATGTAATAGTAACATTACAAGTCATTATCAAATGTTGATATGTAATAGTAACACTACAAGACACTTTTAAGATGTTGATTTAATAAAGTAACCAGTGTTGTATTTTTTTTAGTAACATTTCAAGACACTATCATTTGTTGGAATATAATAGTAGTAACATTTTAAGATACTATCAGTTTTTGTATGTTGTAGTACCATTACAAAGACACCACTAGCAACGATACAGTCCAAAGAACGAACAGGGGAGGTAATAAGAAGGTTACAAGTATAGATAGCATGGTAAAAGAACGAGAAGATAGAGTCATACTTACTGTTAGTCTTCTATGTGGGTCTACCTCTATCATTCCCCGTAGTAAGTTTTGACAGTCAGGTGGGACAAAATGTGGAATGTGAAACACACCTTTTTTAACTTTTTCTAAAAGCTGCCTAAGATTGTCATCATCAAATGGAAGTGCACCCTGGGAAAGAAAAGGATTGTTTTATCACAGACAGCAGGAGAAAGTTTGTCAAGGTCAAATATCTGACCTTGCTGTCACAAGGTTTCTATGGTTATTGTATTTCTTCAATTCAGTCATTTGGGTTTGCTTCATATAAGAAAAGGACAAAATGTAACTTTTATTTTATTTAAAAACTAAAATTTAAATCAGTGAAAAATCTGAAATATTAAATAATAAATAAACTTTTGAAATATCTCACTTTATCAATTAAGAACTCATTTTATAAAAACCTTGATACAGTGCTAAACAGTTATCTAATTTCTCAAAAACAAAAACTGAAAGCAAAACAAATGTTTCGAAATATGTGATACAGTTTTGTATATTAAGTAGTTTTAAGCATTAAAGTTTCCTATGATCTATTGTTCTGAGGTTAAATGACAATTGGTCTCATTCTCAATGGTTTGTTTACTGTCATAATTATCTCTTGACTTTATTTATAGTTCAGTTGGTCGGTTTTGAGGAATTCTGTAAAAAGAATTATGTCCAAACTTTATCTTACAACCACTATATTAAACAACCAGCTTTGAATTGTCCATTTGATACAAATTAGACTGTAACGTCACACTACCACAATTTGTACAATTTTGACAGTTTTCAATGATATTTAAAAATTCAGATCTTGTATCTGGGATGTTTCTTGATTCTTGACAAAGACTACACATGGAGGTTCATTTTCAGAAAAAGTTTTGATTCTAAGTTATTTGTTTTTGAAAATAGATCGCTAAACTTGCATGCGCAGTGAGATTTCGTCCATTTTTCGGCTATGATTAGTTCCCAAATTGGTACACCGTAACACAGGCTATGAAACTTGTTTTTATTTCTACTACAGTGTAGTCGATGTAATGATTGCAAAAACAATATATTGCTTTTATAAATACCATACTGAACTACAACTGTATATATACACTTTTATATTATCTGGTTATAAGGACCTGAAATCAGCATTTAAATATGCGTATAATTAACCCCTTTAAAATCATTCAAAATCCTCCAACATTTAAATATGCTTATAATTAACTCCTTTAAAATCCTCTAAAATCCTCCAAAATTTCCTCGAGTCGTTTTTACTATTTTTTTTACATGTTTACTTTCAAGGCATCATGTACTCTTATAATTTCCCAGAACAGAAGGTGCTGTTAACAAGGTTTTACCTTACACTGAGTTAACAAATAATTATTTGATAACAAAAACAGAGTATTTCTGTTCTGTGACAGGGTTTTTCTTTATACTGAATAAGCAATTATTTTGACAGCAAAACTTTGAGTAATTCTGTTTAACGACGAAGCGATGTCTACTTACGACTAATAATGCATAAAGTATCACTCCACAGCTCCAGACATCAGCTTTCCTACCATCATACTTCTCACCCTGTTACAGACAACACATTAATAAAACATAGAAAGATATATCATCCTTCAGTCTCCGTCGCAGACATGGCATTAAATGTGTACATAGCCTGTCAATGACAGGAAATATTATACAGTTATTGACTTTTTATGAGGTTCAAACAAGGAATTATTACCCAGAGAAAAAGCTTTATTCACTTAGGCGGGTCATTAAATAATTACTTTGAAGTATATAGTAATACAGATTGGTGACAATTCACTTTATTAAACTAATGATAGAAATAAAGAATAAATATGAATGTGCTAATGACTCGAAAAAGGAACATAAATTTTGAAGAATGAAACAGAACAAGAGGCCCAATGGGCCTGCATCGCTCACCTGGTAATAATCTCACACTTGTAATCTTAAAAGTGGACTTAAATACAGCTACAGGCAGAATATCAGTGTTTGATTCATAAGAACCTATTAAAAGAATTAAACATATGATGCCTGTGACCTTGAATGTCTAACAAGGACATTAGGTTGAAAGTGGGTCAAGGTCTTTCATTTGAACAAACGTGGTAGCCATTCATCCCAGCATGCTACAGGCCCAATTTCAGTACCCTTGGCCATTTGGTTATTGAGAAGAAGTCGTTTGAAGATTTTAAGACATTGACCCCAGTGACCTTGAAAGTGGGTCAAGGTCATTCATTTGAACAAACTTGGTAGCCCTTCAACCCAGCATGCTACTGGCCAAATATCATCAGCCTGCGCCTCTGGGTTATTCAGAAGAAGTTGTTTAAACTAAAAGTTGACGCCGGACAGACGATAGACGGACGGACGATGGACGGACGACGCATCATGCCATAAGCTCACTTAGCCCTTCGGGCCAGGTGAGCTAAAAACGGTTGCATCAGCTTTCACAATAAATATGTTTACTAATCACATATCAAAAAGATAGATACTTGTAAAAATTCACCTGTTTTTGGATCATCAAGTGGTGCATTTTTAATTTAAATTATCAAAATTAATATTGCAGAAAAACTTCTAAAATACAAATAAAGGAAGAAATCACTGCCACTGCTAATCTATGCAGTGCACAAAATGTATGACAGATCACCTTATGCTGATTTTCCTTTGGCTGGTCTCCTCAAAACTTTTCCTTTTCTTTTTATGTAAATATTTCACAGGAAGTATACATTTACCTTAAAATATTTGATTAAATACCCTATAGGTAGGGGAAATGATGAAAATACTTTCATAACCAAGAATTTAAACAACACAGATGACAACAAATAAAATACATCCAAAATGAATAAAAATGATGCAAGAAAAATATTTTTCCGGATTCAAATATCACAGATGGTGCATTTTGGATACATACATGACAGTGTTACAACAACAATAAACCAAAGATAATGATTGCACAACCTTTATATCATTGGGTACTTCACAACAATTTCTGGTTTTAGGAAGAAAAGGAGAAGGAAACACTTCGTCCTCCTCTTTGCTGTCTGTTTTGATTTCACTGCGGTAAATTTGCCCGACAATGCCAACAACAAACTTGATGCAATAATGGTAACAGACTTTCTACTTTTGACTCCAGAAGCCGACATGCAGTCAGTGTGAAGTGCATCTTCATACAAAACAAACGCAGAGCAGACCACTAAAATAATGGACAGCCCAGCCAATCAAAAGCAACCCACAGAACACAAGCCAATCAATAAAATAGACCCTCCGGCACAAGCAGACAATTTGCACCAAACTAGACTGAGAAATTGGGCTATAGGGAGAACTTTCTCATTTGGGCAGCAAGTCTTACTAAGTCGTACTAGTCATCCAACACATTTTACACCTTTGGGTGCATACGCTTCACTGGTCATTTGTCTGATGAAGGTGACAGTGTACATATCGTACTAGTCATCGAAACGTCACATAGAACATTTTATTGGTTGTGTAAAAATGAATTTTTCATAATAAGTCTTACTAAATTGCTTACATTTGACATGTGTCAGTCATACCACAGTGAACTGTTTTAAATTAATACAGTATACGCCAATCAAATTGTAGTTATACAACTGTACCATAAGACAGACAAAACTGCAAAAATGTAGTTATATCATTAGATTATAAGTACATCAAGTTTTAGTTATTGAGCAAAGCCTCAGGTTAGAGAACCAAAATAACCACCGGCCTCTGGTTGGGGATTTATTTGTCACACCTTCAAGGTAGAGAAAGATCCTATTATAGTCAATTGAACCTATATTAAGAGACCACCTATATATATTAAGTGACCACCTATGGTAAGTGTCAACTTAAGGGACCTCCCAAGGGTGGTCTCTTCATACAGGTGTGATCTTATATCTTCAATATTATGATTTTGACATCACAATCAAAATGTGGGTGATCAGGTAGCACATCGGATAGCGAGCTTGCCTTTCACCAAGGTGGCCAGGGTTTCATTCCCTGATCATCAGTTGTGAAAAGGTATTAGGTCACCTGCTTGGCCATGCACTCCGGTTTCCTCCAACATTACCACCCATCATGCACCAACATCCAGGCTAGCAAGAATGATTAATATAAGGTGGACAAATTGGTTTCATAGTTGATATGAAATAAATAAATTGTTTCATAATTAATGAAAATAAATAAAAAAAGTATTACCTCTAGTTTTATCACGAAAAAATCTCACTTGTCAAATTGTAATAAGCTAATGTTATGAAGACATCTACGTAATTGGAGTGATGACGGTTTAATATTGTAGCATGTCAGCTAATGTTGCTTTGGGAGAACTTGATTTATGTTACATCTCTTATCATAACAATTACATTAATCAAGTTCATGACAATGAAAACATGATGCAACACATAACATTGTGTTAAGCTTGTTTTGGTTTCATTATTTCCTGTTGGATCAAAAATATGAGATCGAATTTAAAAAGGTGGTAATTTTAATTTTTCAAATGTCCATATAAAGTGGCGTTTACTCCAGGTCCTGACAGTTTTGGGAGTAAATTGATCCGAGAAACAGCTCTCCACGGCAGTGCCATCAAGTACAGATCATGTTCACTCAAACTCTTGAAAACTGAAAATGTCTTGTGCCTGATCAGTGAAGCACACGTTTCAAAATCAGACACAGTAATGTCATTACCTGTGAGTGCATCAATTTTACAAAAAAAACATGGTTTGAATTTATTTTTGTATTATGTAATAATTATCTTTTTAGTAAAATTACTTTGTCATAACATCAATGCAAAAGGAAGTATCAAACAATATAATTTTCTTTGATAACTGCACTCTGAGTAAAAGTGAATAGTGATTATATGAATTATGAATTTTCACATTAAATTGGTTGCCACGGTTACACAACTATGTAAATAAATTGCTTTATGCATATTTCACAATACATTATGCTCAAAACTAATAGGAAATGAAAGCTTATATTGTCTTTGTTTGCTATCAGTCTATCATCTCATGGAAAGCATCCATACAATTAATTACAAATAAATCCTGTACTTATGCCAGAACAATGTTTTATTACAAGTATATTAATCCGAATGTGTTCATTATCCGAAACAACATCAATGTACTTCTTCATTGACAGATTTGCACTTTCAAGTAAACAGATCACTTAGATATTGGTCATATACAGTGGAATTTGTTTCGAAAATGATTTTCTATTTTGACTTAATAAATTCATTTGAAACTAATATAATTGTGTTGAGTTATATTTTCAACCGGTAACAAGAGTGTCCATAAAATGAACATTTTTGATTCTTGGGAGATGTACAGTATGGGTACTACTGTATAGTTGCACTGAAGATTTTGCTGGTGTTTAGAATTAAGGAGTTCTAGTCAAAATGCAAATATAACAATAATAAACCTCCACAAAATACAACTTCCGTGGTTGATCCTGTTCCTATTTCTATACCATATTTATACCGAAATAAACCCATGCCTGATATTAAGCCCATCCATGTCAAAAACATTTCAACAGAAATGTTAACAAATAATATTTCAGTTTTCTGCAATAAGCTCACAGGGTTCTGAAGGTCAGAATTTATGTGTTGGCCCTCTGGACTAGTTTCAGGATAAATACAGTAAAAAACAAGACAAAGTATTGCAAGCAATCCATAGTTCCCCATCAGTCAAAGGCTGTAGACATCGCCTTGTTGTTACGGACTCATCAATAAAGATAATATATATCCTAAAATCCATAAGCATATCAAGTTTGACGAACTATGGTGAAATGGCATGGTAGCCTTGTTCCAGATAATCTTTGGTATAACAAATTTACCAAGGGCTATAACTCTGTGCACAGTGGGGCATGAGACCAAATGGCAACACATAACACTACATCGTCCCAAGAGGTACTCACATAAAAATAAACTGGTTAGTACAGGACAAGGAATGTATGACATATTGAGCCCCAGACAAATTGATCGATGCACAGACAGAATGATAGACCTCCTGATAATCAGTTACCATAAGCTGTATGGTATCCACTAATTACTTTTGAAACAGGAGAAGACAAAATGCATGACAAGAACCGGATTTGAACCTGGGACCTACAAACTCAAGCAAACACTCTACCAAATAAGCTACCTGGTGACCAGTAACCAACCCAGTGAAGTTCCGTTATATTCTTCCCTCCTTTCACTCCTGAAGACAGCCCAAGTTCATGTATTCCCTTATCAAACATACAACTAGTAAGTGTACTTGAAACAAGGGTTGGTCAAAGAAATGCACAGTCAGACCAGGGTTTGAACCTGGGATCTCCAAACTCTAGACAGATGGATGCTGTAACCAATTGAGAAAACTGGTTGCCAGCGATTGACCCAGTCCAGTTCAGCTACATTTTTCCATCCTTTTCTAATCTTTGTCCCAACAACAATATTTACAACCCAGGTTCAGGTACTCCCTTGCCAAGCTTACATTCAGTACTTGAATCAAGGGTTGATCAATGGCACCACTGTATTAGGAGAGGAAAATTGTAGGGGGATTGAACCTCTGGCTTCAAACTTTAGATTGGCGTTCTGAACAATTGAGATACCTGGTCATCGACGATTGACCCTGTCCAGTTCTGCTACACATTAAACTGACAGGTATACCTGTATTCTCTGTGAGCCTGTGATAGCCCACGTTCCTCCCTCACTACACTGTAATGATAATGTCCTATAGGGACCACAATCCCATGCAGTGTTGACGACCCCACTCATCCATCCACATACAACATTTATCATGCAACATCACAAAATCATCTACAGAATAGAGAGAAATACACACACCTTTTTCAATATTGATAAGCTTGCCTTCATCTGACCTTGAGAATTCACCTGTATATCTTGAACTTTGACCTTTTTACCTTGCCACAAATCTTTACTTCTGCTTTTAGCTGTTTCACTTGACCTTTTCTTGATACTGACCCTTGACCTCAGGTTTCTGTGGCCTTGACCTTCATTTGAATACTTCAATCATTAAATCAGTGATCTTTCCCGATGAGGTGATCTTGCTGTTTTTATATTTCTTTCAACACATTCAAAAGTAGGGTTGTTCAGACTATGTAAACACAGCAGACATGCTTAAGATGCAAACACCAGATTGCACACACAGCACAGACTTTGATAACACTGACCAGTGGTCATTACACAACATGTAAAACTTAAGACACACTGGTCATCATAAAAAGTTTGATTAAGATCTGATCATTCTACACACCAAATAACAATGATCTTTTCACAATACTAATCTAGGAAGGTGCAAATAATTTGATGTAAGGAAAATAATAATAGTGTTTTTTACAGGACTGACAACACAACATATCTACAACATGCATTCTTATTGGTTATTCTTACCCTTATGACTTCGGGACATGCATAATGAGGAGACCTGTGTATCGTAAAAGTATAACATTACATTCTATAATGTATACCAGGTAATTATATATATAGGTCTCAGCATACTCCTCTATGGGAAAAGATTAAATGTGTATTTGTATGTAACTATGTATTATTGTATACCGGTATACTACTTGTATATTGTATACTACTTATAAAACTATAGAATGTTACAGAATACAATATTGTAATTAGGAACAATGCAGCTACATGACTGATATGCGTAAGTTTATAAATTCATACAATATCATTACCTTAACAAAAATATCTTATACATCTTACACTAGCAGGATACCTGTTAAATCCTAGTAAATATACACATTGTCTTGAACCCAACGTATAAGTACATAACCTCAACCCAGTGTTTAAACACACGACCTAAACTCTGTATTTAAAAGCATGACTTGATTCAGGTTATCAAAACATGACAAAGTTTAAAATACATGGCCTTGACCTGTGTAAAAATGCATGGCCCTGACCCAGATTATAAACACATGGCCTTCACCTCTGCGTATCAATATATACATGGCCTTAATACCGTGCATAAATAAATAATATTGACCTCTGTGGATAAAGACATGCCCTTGACCTCTGTAAAAAGGATGGCCTTGACACGTGTGTATAAATACTGGGCCTAATTGACCTCTGTGTCAATAGATGAAAGCATGGCCTTGACATTTATGTACAAAACCTTGTCCATATAGTGCATAGATAAAAGACTTCAAACTTCTGTACCTTGCCTTAACCTATTAAGGCAGTAGAATATGAATGCAGTTATTCATTAAATAATTGTTAAGGAAAGCATTAACATGACATTTTTCTTGTGTTCAGAATTCAGAATATTGTTCAAGCTGTTCTCTCCGCATTCAAACAGACCTTCAAATGCAATATAAATATTCATAGATAAAATATACTGATAAATATCCTATACTACTAAAGCAATTTATGTCTGCTTATTTTTAGTTATAACAATGTATCCCTATCATCAAGCAGACTTACTCAAGTCCAATTTTACATTAATAATTATAGCTGTTTCTTTTTTGTTACATGTAAACAAAGAAGTGGGTGTATAATTGTGACGGAAGATTCAACTGATAGCAAATAAAATACTTGTGTATGTCTAAAACCTTGATATATTGCCACCATTTGTCCATAGAAAGTTTTGACGTTATAATTAATAGGGCTTGGCCATAAATTGAAGGAAATGTATAAAAGAATTTTTAAGAAAACAAGAAAGACATTAAAATGTATTGGCGATAAACGAGATGGGTAATCAAACAAGGGGCACTATGTCGAGAATTTACTGTAGTTTTTATATTTCATTTTATCACATTATGTACTGTGTTATCCAGTGAATATACCCATGTCATATACTTTTGCGTATTAACCCATGTAATATGACCTATCAGCCATGTGATTGGTTGTAAAATTCAATTGTTTCAATTGTGACGTCACGCCTAGGACAAGTACATGTCGTCACAGACTTACGCACTGGAGTCAACATGGTGGTTTTTTTCATTTCGAGGTTGCAAGAAAATTGTTGTTTTACACGAATAAATGCCACAAATCTCGATTATGTGATCAAAAGAATCTTACACTCGTTACCATTTAATATAAAATTTATGAAACTCATTACAAATTTTTCAATTTAGCGATCCTCTATGGAAACTTGTGTAAGATCCTATATATGTAGAGACTTACTATTCAATACTACACTGTGTCTGTAAGTATATATCTATATATATTCTACTCTTAAAATTATGTCATAAGACCATATGAAAATAAATCGCAACACAACAATTCTCTGATAAATACATTTAAAACCATACTTAGATGAAAAATATATACAAAATCCTACTTGGGTTAATATGCACATGATTGTTTGTTTGTGATCTTGGAACAGCTGTGTGGGGCCCTTTGAAGATGGAAACCTAGGGAAATGACGCTAGAAAGAAAGAAAAGGAAAGAGAGGAAAGAAATGATACAGATCTTAAATGATGCGATTTATGGAGGGAGCAAACCAATGTTTGCTTCTACAATGTCCCTGTAAGGAGATTCAAAGGAAAACTCCTTATTATGCAGGAGGGTCTCACTGTATTCACCTCTTATGTCCTAACATGCAGTAGGAAACAGCAGACCTATTCTTTTCCTCAACCTGTTGAGTGACCGTACTAAGAAAAATAGGTGATACTCGGATAAATAGACACAGGACGGTACTCAGATAAATATGAATTATAACTCATACAGATACACATAAATATGCATACTAATAAAGATTTTCTTTTTTAAACAATACATATTAGCCTGTGAGCAAGAACATAATTAAGGATCCTTGTACCACTGCCAAATGATGTAATGATGATTTGGAAACATTTTTGCCGGCCTGAAAATGGCTTTAACATATCAATTTTGAAAAGAAACTCATACCTTGTGGGACTTGAATGAAAAATAATGAAGATGATAATAAACAAAACATAATCGACAACAGTGCTCTGAGAGTAACAATTACAGCATTATGTCCCAAAGGGATTCTAACCCTTGACCTCTGATCAAAACAAGGACGCACTAACCAACTTAGCTACATGATCAATGGTAGTCACTTAGCTCAGTCCAACTCCAGTTATTTCCAAAATAAATGTAAGGGGAGGTTACTGTATATATGGAAAACTACAGTGGAACTCTCCAGTGTTTTACCTGCAGTAGGACAGGGATCCTTAAGATATAACAACAGACTACTCCTATGGAATCTCGATCAAGTTTTTTTTTATGTAATTAAAATATCAGGTAAGTAGTTTGAGACTATATCACAATGTGTTTATTACAGCAGGCTGACATTGTTCCAAGTTTGAATCAAACCTATCTGAAGTTCAATATCCCTTGCCAAAAACACATCAGCAGCTTCCTCCCTATCTTGTATATATCTTTTCGTTGTTTTGCCAAAAAGAAGGCAAAGATATTCTTTTAATACCTGAGTTTCAATACACCCAGTAAAACCCCCAGAACATACCTTGGCAACAAAATGATCATATTTTTGTTTTTTAAAGAGTTCATTCTGGAAATCAATCGTAACTGGAAAGAGTTTTTCAATCTTTATCAAATAAACAAAGATAGCTAATCAAGACAATGAGATTCTAACAAGTAATTTGGTTATACCAATAGTGTCAGCTGAATTCATTTTGTCTCATCAAGTGCTTTACCTAAATCTACCTACCTTAGCCAACCTAATATACACACCTGTCTTATTATTACCATATTTTATACACATGTACCTGTAATAAGCCCACACCTACTTTATACTGCTGTTTGTCATGTATTTATTATATGATGGTATCTTTCTAATCATTCATATATTTAAGTAGTTCTGGCTATATTCCCATATTTTTTATCAATTTCTTTCCAACTGGGCAACAGTTTGAAAGACTAATTTTGGTCAGGGAGAACTTCACTGTCGATCCTTGGAAATATGATGTGATCTGTTTCCAGTCATTGTGATCATCATGGACACAAATGTTTTGAAAATGTCAATAACTTTTTAAGGCAGACCATCTGCAGGTACCTATTGAATTGTAAAAATTTGCAAATTACTCTGTCATTATATATGCCTTGATAAAACATAAATGATTTCCAAAACGTACTGACTGAACTCTGGAAGCATAATTCATATCTAAGGTTTTAACTAAAAACACTACTTTTATGGCGAAAAGAAAAAAAAATACTGCATGCACTGAATATTTACCATTTATGTATGCATGTATTTTCATAATTATCTTGAATAAATTAAAATACACGTAATTTTGTTTTTTCATGAGGCACATTACTGGACGTAAGTTTTGAAGATTTATCCAGATTTTAATATGGACAATTTCTTTTATAATCAAATTTAAAGATTCCAGTTCAACCCCACTTTTATGTGCATGGTGCACTTACAAAGTCAAATACGGTATTGATTTACTGTCATGCCTTCAGCACCAATCTGAGTTCCCACAAAGCTGGTGATTTTATTGATCGGGTCCAACTACAAATGTACATGTTTTATAGTTTGAATCCTAGCCACTTCCTACTGGTTAGAAAAAGATCTTTTCCTTTAATCTTAAAGCAGCACTAGCTAGCACTTCATTATGTTTTAAACGTCACTACCACAGCGTATGTATGCCATGCAATGATTTAAGTTTTCAATATGGTTCTTTTATCAAGTTGAAGGTTATATATTTTTTCAACTTTTTTAATATTTAAAAAAAAAAAAGATACAGGTGACCTTTTACCTTGTTTGACATTTACAAATACGACCTTAAAATTGACACCGACACAATAAAATGTATCAAAGACTCATACCTATTCATCTTGTTAGATTTGATTTTTATCATACAGAAACATTCAAAAAGATGACTGTGACCTTGACACATTTACAGTGACCTTAACACAGATCCCTATGACCTTGAACACGTACCCACAACTCGTCTCCAGCATGGAACCCTCCACCTGAAGCGAGGCCATGCCGAAGTCTGCTACCCGTATATTGTTCTTATCATCTAACAGCAAGTTCTCCGGCTTCAGGTCTCTGTGACTGCAAACAAAAATGCAAACAGTTATCACGGTACTTTCAGTGGCGTTCCGAGGACAATTTAATTTATAGGCCCCATAAACCTTCTTTTTTCAAAAATTCAATGTTCCTAAAAGAGTCCCTCCCAACTCGTTGCTATAGTAAAGTGTCCAGCAACTCTGAATTCAAAATAATGTTGAACAAATTGGAACTCTTTCTTTGCTGGAGATACAAAAAACCGTACTGATACTCTCTACCTTTACCTCTTTTCTGAAGCACCAAGTCACCTGGTCTTCACAGAGGTAAATAATTTAAGTTGAAACAAAAGCATAAATAATGGCTTTTAGCTGAAAAAGTGATAATATTCTCCAGAAAATATTTCTCCCCTCAGCAATCTAGTCCCAAAAGTGACTCTCCATCAAAATTGTTTTTGTTCCTTCTAATTATATTCAATATTTGCCTGGCATACAACATATCTCCCCCAGGTAATTTGCTTTTAACAGTATCTAATCTCTCTCATCCCAAGAGATGACCTTGATTTGACCTTGTCACACAGTACTGACAGTTGCCACCCACACCAAATAAGGTTAACACTCTCCAACCCACACACAATGAGTTTAATGTCTCAAAGCTACATTTGTGACGTCAATGTGTGTAGGGTTACTTGTTTGTTCTGTATAACAGACTGGAACCTCTCTAAACAAAGCACTGTGCATTCTAATATCCTGTATAATCCAAAATGCTTGTGCAATTCTATTTCTCATGAAAAATTTCAAATGAGATCTTTGTATTCTAAGATCCTGACTAATGTGTCTTGTGTCCCAGTCGATGTCAGATTAGACAGGTCAATCTGACCAATATGCTGCATTCCACAGGGTGTCAGATGAGACAGTATCACTATACCCCTTGCACGAGTCAACCCTATATCTATATAAGTCTTCTTCTTCAATGACCACATATCGACTATTTTTCGCCATTTATCTTTAAAAACAATTGTTTTTTGCCGCACTTTCCCATTTGCCTTTTTCGCCTCTCCAAAGAGGGCAAATTTATCATGAAAGCAAATAGTTGTACATGATATATATATATAGTAATTACATACGACGGGCAAAATTAACACTGGGCAAACATGGTTTTATATCGACAAAGGGCGAATATTTGATTTGGCGAAATTTTCCAGTATACAGTAGTTTCAATCACCCCAAACGAATCAGTATCTGTGCTCTTTTTAATGGAAAACTAAGTTAATCCTTTGATACACAAAGATACAATTTTATCAATCTCAACAAATTTTCGCTACACAAAGATACAATTTTATCAATCTCAACAAATTTTCGCAAGTAAACTTGAGTCTTAAGAATACAGTGAAACATTTGCAGTTCCAGATAAGCTTAACAATTTTCTAAGGTCGGATAAGACATCTTATCATAACTTTCTTCAGACATGAATTTCTTTTTAGATAAAGAAAGTAATGGTTCCCCAAAGTGAAATATAATTAACTTAAAATTAATAGAGCTTCAATCAGAATTTTATGCCTATTGACAAAACACCGCAATAACTTATGAATACCGGTATTAGACATTTGTGAAGTTTCAGGATGAACAGTATTACCATATGTTATGACTATGACAAAAGTCTAGGGCTGAAATTATTTGTCTGAAGAATCGCCGTGCCTCTTTGGGTGTGAGGCGGCCCTTCTTCACGAGGTAGTCGAACAGCTCTCCTCCAGATACATGTTCCAATATTAGATATCTGTAAAATGAAAATAGAAACATGCTCTAGTATTAGATATATGTAAAATGAAAGCAGAAAGCTGAAACTATAAACATTAGATATCATAGTAAGACACCTATATGTGTTATAATATATAATCTTATGCTTTTTTTTTTTTAAATCTGAAAATTGTTTAATTAAAAAAAAAAAAATCCAATAAAAAACCAAAGTATGAAATGACATTCTCCATAGAAAAAAAGAGAAAAAAAAGGTCTTTTAAGTTTTACTGTAATCTAAATATATGTAGCTTTCCATTAAGATATAATTAAAGTGAAAGTAGGTCACATTTAACTTGTTTGTCATGATAATATAAGGAGATCTTTAAGATAATTAAATATATGTCATTAACAGTTTTACATTCAAAAGTGAAACTTTCCCTTCATGTAAGTTAAATCTTTTGTTTAAAGTATACTCTGTTATTTTCACAGACAAGGAAGTGTTGGCACACAAATATGTAGCTGATAAGTAAAATATATGTAAAGTGAAAGTAGGTCATATTCAACTTGTTTATCATGATTAAAATAAAAATAAAATTAAGTCGATCTTTCAGTTGATTAAATGTATGCTATTTATCATTTTACACTTATAAGTGATAACCACCCCATCAAGTAGATGTCTCTAGTTTAAAGTATCTTATGTGAAGATAGACCGTTATATTGCAGACAAGGAGGCGTTGGCACAAGAGGTGAATCATCTAATAAGTCATAAAGATAGCATTTCTGTAGAAATCACAGCAATATCACAGGAAAAAATTGTTCCAAGACTTGAAAAAAAATTGGGAGGGGGTGGGGGAGGGGTAAAAACAACTTAGATGTAAGATAACTAGCAGTATGAATCATCGCTGACAAAAATTAACTATTTAGAGAGAAAGTGTTTCCAGATAAATTTCCTATTTTCTTGATCTAGAACACGAGTTAAACAAATGATTTTCTTTGTTGAACATCAATGCTTGATTCATAACTTTATCTATTCTGATAAAGGTAACCTCTGCAATCAAACTTTCTTAACTAGTATTTATATATATACTTACATAATATTGTAAGGTGCTTAGTACAATGATGTTTTGGTAAAACCTGTTCTCAGTGATTACAGCAGTCATTATTAAGGAATAAAGTTAAAACTATGATATGAACCTGATAAATCTGGAGGGAACAGAATTCCACACCGAGTTCTCTTCCACATTTCTTCCACGATGCGAGAGCAAGTGATAAAGGGAAGACAAATCGCTGACCCAGTAATGATAAGAAATGTGTGACTAAACCACATACCTAGCACAAATATATACTGTATTCTGTAATCTTGGTAACTAAGTTGGGAACCTGTTCTGTATTAGCTGCCAAAATCTTTTTCATTTGATACATCAATGACTATATAACAAATTCAGATCTGCTAAGCTATTCTAAAGATAATCAGTAAAAAGCAAGAGACACTATGGGCCTGTATCACTCACCTGGTATTAACTCATTCACCCCTGAAGACAAGTTTGAACTCTTCCAATGAAGAGATTGGAGTTGTTTATTATGAAATTTCAGGGGGGGAATGAGTTAATCTCACATTTGTAACCTTTAAATTGAACTAAAATAACACTACAGGCAAAATATCAGTATCTATGACTCTAATTCATACAAAAAAAAATGTTGAAAGACCCCTGCCACCTTGAAAGTCAAACAAGGACACTAAGTATTTACCATACTTTTTAGCCCATCTCAGCATCAACTTGCATGGGCAAGGGCAATACTATAGAACCCCCTTCCCCTATTTTATGGTGCGGGCATAAAAATTAACACCTGACGGATGGACAGTGGATAATGCACCACGCCATAAGCTCACATGGCCCTCAGGGCCAAGCTAGCCAACAACTACTGTGGAATTCTCTGGTATGTTGCCTGAACTGGGACAGGGATCATTAAGATCCTGCATAGAGGTTTAAAACAAATTGTATCCAATGCTGGAGTCAAACTTGCCTCTACCAGCAAGCTGGGGCTCTAATGCTGTCAACTACTCTAGACCTCACAAACTGACTGGTGTTGGTGCTTTTGTAACATATACTGTTTACATACATGTATACACATATTCCAGAAAGAAAGTAAAAATAAATGCTTGTCTGTGTTTCACTCATCAATTTGATTATCTACAACCTGCTGAAAGCAATTCTTACTTTGGTGTGAGTTAGCCTGCAGTGTTGTTGATTTATGGCATTTTAAAAGCAAAACTTTAAATTGAGGAGCATGTTACTGACAGAGCTATCGCTGTGGGAGTCGCCCCATGGCCACTAACTCCACCACAGTCGACAGCCGACATGTAATACAACCCCTCTCCTACCACAAGGATACAAACACCTCACACTTTACAAATGCTTTTTTAACAGGACTAATTCAGACACAGTGGTGTCCATGGTAAGTTGACATGACTTTACTTCTGCCTTACATGGATAGTGTTTCAAACAAAGGGGAGTAACTCTGTATAAAGTGACTTTACTACTGCCTTATTTGGATAGCATTTCAAATAAAGGGGAGTAACTCTGCATACAGTATTTAAAGAAATAATGCTTTTTATTTTAAATTTATCTCTTTCACAGATTTATTTCTAAAATTGTAATTTCTATAATTTGTGCTTTGAGAATTATTCTTATCGTGACAATGACTTCAGTTTCAACACTGTACACTGCATTTCAAATAAAGGGGAGTAACTCTGCATACAGTATTTAAAGAAATAATGCTTTTTATTTTAAATTTATCTCTTTCACAGATTTATTTCTAAAATTGTAATTTCTATAATTTGTGCTTTGAGAATTATTCTTATCGTGACAATGACTTCAGTTTCAACACTGTACAAAAGGCCATAACTCTGTATATTGTAGAATATTTAACACATTTTTAGTATATACCAGTAACACTTCCCGAAACTTATTGTCATGCACAATGTGGCAATCTTAGGTAACGGAGTAGATCAGACATGCACAGGACAACTGATTCATAGTCCGACTGACAGAATGACTGATGTAGTCTTTCACATTAATTTACCATGTTTGCTGTGAACAAGGGGCAGTAACTCTGAATATATGGGACCCAATTTTAGCACATGACATTTTAATATCCCAAGAGGTACTTGCATACAAAATTTACAATTTTAGGTGACACAGTATCTAAGATATGCCCCAGACAAAGTGATGAACAGACTGACAGACACAGTCATTTAAAGAATTAATGACGTTTCCTTTCAGCCTTCTGCCCTGAGGGGAGCATTACCTCTAAGTTAGAGAAATCTAACCCCATAGTGTCCATGCTAAATTTGGTTAAAACTGCTACGCCTGTTCTTGACCAGTAGGCTTTTAAAGAAAACAAATTGAAGTACAGACAATGAATGCCATACCATGGCTTATTACCTCATTTAGACTTTTATTGTTAATTTACTCATATTTCAATACCTTTCTGATAATTGTTGATTAAAAGTTCATTTAAATAACTTATGGTAATGCCTGCCCCTTTTCCTTTCAAAATTCCTATAATTAAGGGTGTTATTTTGTAATTAACCTATCCCCGTTTTCGCATAAGCTATTTTTACACTGCACTTCTATAGATATTAAACCCTCACACCTCCTTACAGGACCGCAAGCTCTGTTTACTCATAGAAAATGACACAATTACAAGGTATTGGCGGAACTTGGCTCATCTTTTGGATGGCCGAAAGTTTATTTAACATATTTTACGATTAAAATGTTTTCAGATTGCATTTTTGATGAGTAAAGGTGCGGTCTATCAATTAAGCGCCACAAGACATCTTTAAAGTGAAACAAGCGCCTAAACATACCTGGAAATATAGAAACATCTTAACATACATAATCTTGATGGGGATGAGGTGGGAGGGTTAGAAAGCTTTTGCCGTATAAAATGCCAAATTACTTGTATCTTTTGTTTTTAGTCCAGATGGCGTGCAGTTGCAATTTTTTTCTGTCCCCTGTGGAGTTCACATGCTGAAACAGGGGTCAGCTTTCAAGTGGTTTAGACTTGACCAATGAAATTGTATTCCAAAATTGAACACCGGGAAATTCATATAATATATTGCATATATTGTAAAAACAAAATGTGTATTGCTAGACTTTTATTGTTAGGTATATATATGCAGTGTATTTGACATACTTACAAGTATTTCTTGTTTTCGTACACATTGTATAGGCCCAATACATGTGGATGTTCTATAAGTTTCATTATTGCGATCTCCCTTTCCACCTGAAAAGAAATGAAAAAATCTTGATTAAAATTCAAAAAGACATATAATCAAATTAAATATTCAATTAGTATTGATATACAGTTTTGCAATCTACAAGCACAATGTTTATAAATAAGGGTAAGACCTATTACTAAGTGTGTAATTCCTGAAATTGTTTCTGTGAGCAATAAATCCCTAATACTCAAGTTGTGTTAAGAATGTGTGCAATACCTAACAGTGTATCCATCTAAATCAAAATCTTATCACAGATTATAGCAGAACAAACGTTTTTAAACAGGAGGCCCATGGGGTTCGTATTTATCACTTTTTTCTTCTGTTATCTTCAGCTAACTTGAGACCATAATAGCTTTATCAGATTACTTTTTGTCAAAAAGATTACAAAAAGCAATGCATAAAAACATTGACAGGAACAATTGTATAATCTTTTATCCGAATCAATTCGGTGGGAAGGAGATTTGGAAAAAATGTTACTGAGACAATCAGCAGATTGGTCATTATGGATTTCAAACCGACCTTAAATTAGCAGCACCTACTCAGGATCATGATGTTACTTTTTAAACAAGGTTACAGTAGGTTACCATTGACCTGATGGAAGCTGAGATGTTTTGTCGCAGCCAATCAGATTACAAGTGGCAATCTCTGATCGTGAATTGGTTCGAAATGTAACAAATTTAATCAGGACTACAAGAGGAACATTTGTATAACCTTTTTGGTGATATCAGCCAGTGGATAAGTGAGAATTAGGAAATGTCTCACCTATTCAAGGCCAAGAGACATAATAGATGCCAAATAACTTTTTTTTATAAGCCAGAACAGAAATGGTCTCAAGATAATGATTTGCACCATTTTTTGTTAATATTTGATACAATTATAAACCCTGGAGAATCTAAATGTTTAAATCACATTTCTATAATTCAGCTTGCCCTTCTCCCCAAAAACAGGGGCACATTATTCAATTAAACAACATTGAGTTCCCTTGGCCCAAAAGGTGCAGCAGATCAAATTTGGTTAGTTTCCCTTCAACCATTCTCAAATAGTAGTTTTTTTTTATAAATGTTTTACTTACTTACCATGGCCATAAGTCCAATTTCTCTGCCCCGATGAAAAACAACCTCTTTAAATAACAACTGAGACCCTGATCAAAGTTGGTTAAAAAATCTCTTTACCGTCTTTCAGTACCAATATGCTTAAAAAGATTTACCTTTATTTCACCCCATGGTCCCTAGCCCATCTTGCCCCCCTAGCAGTGCTGTCTCTGACCCCATCAATAGAGTGCACATTTTATACCTGTACTTTGGGAACACAGCAGTGGTGTTAATCCTAAGGAAATTAGGTACATATTGGTCTAGTGCAACAGTTTCAAACATTTACTTGCGGCCCTCCGGGTCACAAGCAATATGGCCACAGTTTTATAGTGATTACAACGCCTACACAATTTACTACAGGTTTTTGATCAGTATTATATATTCCATTTGTATAGTGGTTCAATTTCACCAATAAACACTGTACCATCCTTCTCTATAACCAAGAATCAGATATTGAATATTGAAGACTTGACATTTCCTGAAATCTTAATTAGTAGTGCATGATATTTTCCTCAATTTTGAATGGTTTTTTTTTCATAAAATTATAATTCTGCTGCAGATTCAGGATAGAAGAACTGGCATGCTGATATCCTATATTATGATTGTATGAGGCAACTGAAGTATGGGGCCTTCTAAAGCACCAGGTTTTCTAACTTATGTGCCCTCCGATTATAAGTCCCTGCAGGTAGGGCATAAGAATTGTACCTGCTGCCCCCATTGCATGATCTTAAGAGGCAACTAAATTTGGTATCTTAACTTTTCTCTTCTTTCTAAACAACTTTCTTCTTCCTAATGTCTCCCTTGACAATGCCTCACTTTCGGCCTTAGGTGAGCGTTCGCCCCTGTGAGGAAGGCTTTGGGTTCTGTCCCCTGGCCGAGACATACCAGAGTCTGTAAAAATGGTAGTTTCTACTCCTGCTTAACGCTCAGCAATTTAGGAGAGGGATGACTGGTTTGCCCATTGTCAGCATAATGTGACTGGGTGGGGTGTCTTTGGCAGTATGTTTCAGTGGGGTAGCATCAGTTCAGCGCTATCACAAGGAGACAACCATGAACATATCGCAGCCTCCCAAAACACACACACATACACCACACGAATGCATCTAGCACACAGGGGAGGCCGTCCATAAATGACCATAGCTGTTGATAGGACATTAAAGAATACTAAACTAAACCAAACCAAACCTCCGATTATAAAACTTGTAATCTTTCAATTTTTTCCATTAATTTTTCAATAACTTTTTACATTAAGATTTCAATGAAAAAATTCCATTGGACCTGTTGATCTAGTCTAAAACCTTCCTGAAACTGACATGTATAGAACAATCAACAAGATTTCCTATACAACACTTCCAATTGTTACCATACAGTTGTAAACTAAAAAGTATAGATAACAATTGCACCATTTATATAGTTATAAGGTTTCCACCTCAGATCAAACTTTATGGCGGAAGCATTGTCCCATATAAGATAAAGCAACATAAAAGGTTTTTTTCTTGCTTGAATTACTTTCCTTGTCTAGCTGTTCATCTTTCATTTTAATACCTAGCAATTAAAATCCCTGGGTAGCAACACTGCTAATGTTGTATGATTAAAACATCGCAATCAAATGACATTCTGATATTGTGACATTATAGACTGAATGCTGAGCTGAAAAACAATTGGTCAGTTCTACTGACAGGTTAAAGGACTAACTATGATATTAAAACATCATTATACTGTCACCAATTGTATTTTAAAAAATTGGTTTCATAACGAGATTTAGCAATGTAAAGACGGAAAGGTATAAATGAAATGTCAATAAAAAAGGCCAATTTGGGCCTTAATTGAAATATGTTGGCAATATAAGCAAAGTTTCACTAATAAAATGATCGGCTTTTAATCAAGTTTTTAATCTAAATCAACACCTGACATACAGTAATGTTCAGAACAAGAATTCCACAGGAGTTGATGTGTCGCCTGCTCAGCGCTTTTAATAAATTCGACAGAAAAACCTGTAATATATGTTGAACATTATTGCTTCTAGCATTACCGTACAAATAAAAGGAACTGATTGCATAACTCCACCAAAAATGCACGTAAACTTCTGAAATGAGAACTCGTCCAAGCTATATTAGTATGCAATATGTGTACTAAGATGTGATGGACTGGGATTTCTCCATTGTTTTTTAACTGGTATTAATGTAAGAAAAGAAAAAAAACGTGATTTGAAATCAAATTTACGATTTGAAAATGAGAACAACATTTATTTCCTGCAATTTATACACAACAAAAACGATGAAACAACAGTTTACCTGTTTATTACAATTCGAGATATTTAAATGGGGCAGATAGCAAGATAAAAGAAAATATAAACTTATACTTTGGCGTATCAGGGGCTACTCACTCAACACAATAAGCTAACTATATACAATACTACAAAAACAAACATGTACTGACGAGGTAGCCTCCTAAGCAAAGAAAGAGGCCACAAGGAAAAAC